ACAAGAAAGAGCTAGCAGTTACTCCTAGAACTAATAATATCCCTTTTCTAACCAGGAAAGTAAGTAGCTAATTATTCTGTCATTATTGTCACATGTCATCATTTGGTTGTCTTACATAACAATCCTTTTCAAACTTGAGATCCCCCACACAAATTACTAAACATGCTGACTTCCTTGGGTGCATCTTTTCTTCTACCAGGAGGTCTGCCTTTCTAATATATGAGAATTACAAGTCACTCCTGCTGGGGATAATGAAAGAAAGTAAAGGGCGGGAATCAAAAAGGAAAACAAACGATAGAACATGCTTAGTTTTTATAAAGAAGGCTTAGGAAAGAGTAAAGGAAAGGAAAAGAGGCTCAGACCTTAGAAATAAACTCCTCCACCCCTGAGTAGAGAAAGCTGAAAGCCGTATGTAATAGGAACTGAATGGGCCTATGTTTTGGCATGAACTTATTACAGGCAAAGCCACCAACATATATCTACACATACTGAGGAAGGCTAGACTGTTAAGTGTCACATATATATGGTCTCAAAGGAGCCTCAGGAAGCTCACAAAATCAGAGAAGTGTTGAACATTTAAAGAAAGAATACAAAGGAAAAAAAATGCCTCTGAGTTGTATATTATCTGTCAGTAAAGCAAAACAAATGTGTAAGCCCATTATACTGTTTAATATAATAATGTCTCACTGCAATTAAAGAGGGGAGAGTCTGCAGTTGCCACAGAAAAAGAGGTAGTGCTGTACTCAAGTTTACTACAAATTTAGTAACAGTAAATGTAAAATATGTATGTATTTATACAGTCTTTCACAGGCTTATGAACTATCTCAAATTCACTAATTCTGAAGTTTTAAGTTTCAACCACTTATATCACCAGAATTTTGAGACTTAATTCCCATAGTTAAGAGATTTCCAAGCTGTGTTCACACCTGTAGTCCCAGCTACTCTGAAGGCTAAGGTGGGAGGACCTCATGAGCCCAGGAGTTCCAGACTAGCCTTGCTCTATTTGAAGAACATGATCCCATTGCTTAAAAAAAAAAAAAAAAAAAAAAAAAAAAAAAAAAAAAAAACAACAAAAAAAAACTCAGAGAGAGAGAATTCCATTCCATAAATTACTTGGCTTCTTATATTCTGTCTCTTTAGTGAAACACTATGGCACTTAAGGCTAAAACTTACGTCTCTTTTGTTTTTTTTTTTGAGGCAGAGTCTCATTCCATTGCCCAGGCTGGAGTGCAATGCCATGATCTCTGCTCACTGCAACCTCCACTTCTCAGTTCCAGCAGTTCTCCTGCCTTAGCCTCCCAAGTAGCTGGGAGTACAGGCGCTCACCACCATGCCCAGCTATTTTTTTATTTTTAGTAGAGACAGGGTTATGCCCAGTTAATTTTTTTATTTTTAGTAGAGACAGGGTTTTGCCATGTTGGCCAGTCTGGTCTCGACTCCTGACCTCAGGTGATCCACCTGCCTGGGCCTCCCAAAGTGCTGGGATTACAGCGGTGAGCCACTGCACTCAGCCTAAAACTTAAGTATTTTACCACTGTAAGACCAGTACTACTTCAGTACTACTTATACCCTACATAGAGAAGATGCTCAATAAATGTTTGATGATTTAGCAATTACTGAGACAGGAGGTAATATATGTGTCAAGAAATTATTCTAAATATTTTAAGTAGGTTTATGAGTATGGAAAAGACCCACCCTCAAGGAGCCTGTAATCTTGTCTTTTATATTATACTGCAGTTTTCAATATGCCATAATTCTGGGAGATATTTTGGTTTTTTCTTCAGAGTGAGGTCAAGGAAACAGAACACAAAATAGTTATTGACGCTGTTTAACAACAGGCATTTTGTGCCTGGCGCGGTGGCTCACGCCTGTAATCCCAGCACTTTGGGAGGCCAAGGTGAGTGGATCACGAGGTCAAGAGATCAAGACCATCCTGGCCAACATGGTGAAATCCCAATCTGTACTAAAAATACAAAAAATTGGCCGGGTGTGGTGGTGCATGCCTGTAGTCCCAGCTACTCAGGAGGCTGAGGCAGAATTGCTTGAAACCAGAAAACAGAAGTTGAAGTGACCCAGGATCGTGCCACTGCACTCCAGCCCGGCAATAGAGCAAGACTCTGTCTCAAAAAAAAAAACCGGCACTTCAAAAGTACTTGAGATTTTCTCTACACTTTCACAGAAATGAAAAAAAAATCTTCTCTCTAAAGATTATATGAACTGATCTATCCCTAGATATTTTTATGAAAGGGATAATGATTAGAGAGTAACAGCACACTTATATGGGGATCAGTACTGAATATATTGCTTATTAATTGAAAAGAAATCATACTACCGCATTAGTGAATCAAGGAAATAAAAGAGTATATTTGAGTATTTGTAAGAGTTTATAAGAGTCAAGTAAATTAATTTTCAAAAATGCAGAATTTAATTCTATTTGGCTAAAACAAAAAAACAAATCTGAAGTTCTCTCTACTTTCTCATCACCATCATTTGCCAAACATGGCACATTTCAATTTCTTCACTAAAGCCAGCACCTAATTCATGTTTTTCCCAACCTATCTACGTCGTGCAATCAACTTAGCATGCCTGTAGATTCTCAAGTACAAACAGAAAACAGCAGGGAGTTGTTTCAAAGGAAAGAAAATAAGCTTTTTTTCAACTTATCAACCTTTCTTTTCAGTATTGTAAATGTGAAACAGTAAGATACCCAAATGAAAATGTTCAGTAGGTATACATGGGGAATTTGAAATCAACAATACGGTTAAGGAGATGACAATCTCATGACCACAAATACAGAAGTGACTAGTGAAACTAAGTGTAATCTCAGGAAAAAGGTAATTTAGAGAAAGAATAAGCTGAATGCTTATTTTGGCCTTCTGTAATCTTACATGTAACCCTAGATCATTTTGCTTCTGTCATCTTGCTCCGAGCTGACAAGTAATACTGGAAATTTATGGAATACTTCAAAGTGAGTTCATTATAAGTTCATATCATTTTAATTTTGACTGAATACTACTTCTAAGCAATCTTTTATTCTCTTACTGTTGATTCATTAGAGTGCAATTATTTCCAACTTAAGAACCTTTAGCTTCCTGGGAAACAGAAATTAGTAATCCTAATGATTACCAAGAACAATGCATTATAAACACTATTTCTCACATATTAATATTGTGCACTATAAACACTATCAATGCATTATAAACACTATTTCTCACATATCAATGTTGTGGTTCATAAAATACAAAGTCACTAACGAGTAGTAGCTTCTTTCTAATACGCATTTTCTCAATTGAATACAAAATCGTAACTACAATCATGGGGTGGTCCACAAGTTGTTTTGAAGTTAAACAGGTTATCACCTTTAAAATACTGGTAGCCACTGCCTGAAAGTATTTCCCACAGATCAGGAAATGTTTAAATTAAACATTCTAAGCTTCCAATTATCCCCCACCTTCTCCTACTTCTGCTTTCATTTTCCCAAGAAAATCAAACATATCCTCATACATTCTCTCATCTACCTCAATCGATCTGAATTTATTCTTTCTTCTCTACCTCTATAAATATTTGATGATTTAGCAATTACTGGTGTCCTGGTGTCTTTCTTCCTTCTTAGAAATAATTCAACAACACATACACCTGATCCAATCTCTAACCTGGCCCCCAACCCAATCCAATCCATCAAGCAAGTTTAGTCTCTCCTTCCCAAGTTTCTTTCTACCTAAAACCATCATCAGATCTTACATAAACAGAAAAACTTTACTTGATTCCATTCTATGCCCTAACTACTATTCTCTCTCTGTTTTGCTGTCAAGTTCACAGGGTTAGCAACCTACAGCCTGAGCCAGCCACCCATTTTTGTTAAGTAGGGCTTTATTGATAACAGCCACCCCATTTCTGTAGGTATTATCTAAGGCTGCTTTCCCACAAGGGCTGAGTTGAGTAGAAAATATAAAATATTTTCTATCAGCCTTCTTAAAAAAACATTTGCCAATCCCAGGGGCTCCAAGCATGATCTACATTCAATGTCATAATTTCTGGGGAAGTAGGGTGCCATTAAAGATTTTTGGAGCAGGCCGGACGCGGTGGCTCATGCCTGTAATCCAAGCACTTTGGAGGCCAAGGTGGGTGGATCACCTGAGGTCGGGAGCTCAAGACCAGCCTGACCAACATGGCGAAACCCCATCTTATTTTTTTAAAAAAAAGAATAAATAAATAAATAAATAAGATTTTTGGAGCAGCAATAAAGTACTACGAGTAAAAGAGTATTTCAATACCAGTTTTAACAAATGTATAGGGCAGATATAAAAGAAGACTACTTAGGAAACTAGTGCAAGAGACTGAGCATTAGGCATGAAGGCAGGGAAATGAAAAAAGGAACTTCTTGAAGATATAAGCATTAAAACTAGAGGACTACATGTCACAGAGATAAAACTAACACCAAAGTTTAAATCCTTGATGATCTAGCTCTCAAAATTTCCATTCTCTACTATAACCTGCTCTAGACTTACAAGTCTTTGTTATTTTCCTGTCTTTCTGGAGTACCTAAAATCCTAACCCTAACACTAATCATATATATTCTGTGTGCCAGGCATTCTCCATGCTTGCCATCTAACTCCTTGGTAAGCAAATCCCATAGGAAAAGGACAGTCTCAACAGAGTTGGCTGAATGAGTGCACAGAGCTAATGTCAGATGTAGATGGAGTACTCACCTGTGGCACCAAGCAGCGGTGGAGGGGGGAGTAAGATTTCAGGTGCAAAACTAGCTCTAGCCAAACAGGAAGAAGCAGAGTGTCTTTGGTATTCTGACACACTCTTTCTGATGTTCAGACAGACCACCATCAGAGTAGCCACCAGTAAGAGAGTTGCATGAGAAACAAGCCAAAAAACACCACCAAAAAGTGAAGAATTAAATGGAGCAGACCCTATTGGTCTTTTGTCTAGGAAAAGCAGTCCTCCTTATGAAAGATAATACTACTTTCAAAATGGCCAGTGATACTAACCTTCGGGAACAGTGTTTTCACATCCCACGAGGTTGAGAAGGATATCATCATCTTTATCATCTACTTCACAGCCCAGTAGCATCCAGCTTTCCACATCATCACCTTCTGAAATGGTGCTCTCTTCCTCTTCACTTGAACTGACCTCTATAATCATGACCTCTCGGATTATACCTGACCGCTCTTCAGGTTTAGGCCTCTCAATATCACTCTTGCATTTCTTATCAACCAGCTCATTAGACTGAAGAGAAGCAGAAGGACTACAGGCATTTTCTTGTGCTTGAACTCTAACATTCTTTCCTTTACATCTATAAATACTATCTTCATCAGACAAAGTGATGACCTCTGATCCATCTGACAGCTGGATGACTTCCCTATCTGAAACGACAATTAGCTTCTTATGATTTGGTTTACTACTCGAAGATTCCGAATTCCCAGGGTTCTTTTCTTCATGTTCTTCCTCCCTGATGACATCATCAAGATCTTGGGCATAATGAATTCGGCTATAGAGCTGAAATTCCACCTCACTATCAACACTCAGTTCACTAGATGACTCGTCTCGATAAAGAGCATCTTCATATGCTTCTACAGTCTCGTAGCCACCAAACATCATCAAAAGTCAGTAACCTTGATGCTGCAAAAGAGAAAGTTGTACACAGAATATATTTTAAAAGTTCAGATGATGACAGTTTAGGGAACAATACCACACGTTAGTGACAACTGCTAATATGAAGGCCATCACAATTCTCAGACATACTAAAATCCCTTTTTTTCCAAGGATTTCTAAGTCCTATTAGGACCCACTCCTGTAAGTCCCACCATTCCCTAACAAAAACTACTACTGACAAATTGAGTTATAGTTACTGATGGAAACAGTCAACATTTTTAGAAATGCTTTGTTCAGTGATTTCATCATGCAAACTTCATAAAATGATTTTCACAAACTTAGATGGTGTAGCCAACTACACAACTAGGCTATCTGGTATGGTCTATTGCTCCTAGGATACAAACTAGTACAGCAAGTTACTATAACGAATATTGTAAGTAACTGTAATACAGAGGTATTTGTGTATCTAAATATACAAAAGATACAGTAAAAATAGCCTACAAATCCTATGGGACCACAGTCATACAGTCTGTCTTTAACCAAAATGCTATTATGTAACACATGATTATATAATATTTCACAGGTATATTGTAAATGAAAAACTAGATGAGATCGACTGCACGACACAAAACACTTGCTTTCCAAAATGTTAAAACTCAATAGACTTAAAGTAGCTCTCACTATCCCATCCATTCTTCATCTTTTCCTTGGTTCTGGTGCTACAGCCCATATTTTCAAGTATATATTCTCATATAGGAATATCTCAATTACAACTAAAATCCCTAACAGGAAACAATTTTATTTACTGTTTGGGTGTAAATGTATATTCTCAATTAACAAATTAATCTCATGCTCTCTGTTCATTGGCCAAAAAAATAAGTAAAAATGCCTGAGCTGGCACAGTGGCTCATTCCTATAATCCCAACATTTTTGGAGGCCAAGGCAGGAGGATCACTTTGATGTCAGAAGTTTGAGAACAGCCCAGGAAACACAGTAAGACCCCCATCTCCACAAAAATAGAAAATAAAAACTTAGCCAGGCATGGTAGTCCAAACCTGTAATCCCAACTACTCAAGAGATTGAGGTGGGAGAACCCCTTGAGCTCAGAAGTTCAAAGTTACAGTGAGTTATGGTCACGCCACTGTACTCCAACCTGGGTAACAAAGCAAGAGCCCAATACAAAAATAAAACAAGGGCAGGCGGGTGCAGCGGCTCATACCTGTAATCCCAGGACTTTGGGAGTCGAAAGCAAATGGATCACTTGAGGTCAGGAGTTCAAGACCATCCTAGCCAACATAGCGAAACCACATCTCTGCTAAAAATACAAAAATTAGCTGGGCATGGTAGTGTGCGCCTATAATCCCAGCTACTCAGGAGGCTGAGGCATAAGAATAGCTTGAACTCAGAAGGCAGAGGCTGCAGTGAGCTGAGATCATGCCACTGCACTTCACCCTGAGCAACAGAGCCAGACTCTATCAAAAACTCTGTGCTAGTTATAAATATGCACATAAAAACAAACTTAATAATGAGCTAATAGAGACAAAACTCCCAACTTTGGTAATAAATGCCTAAACTGAAATACTTTCTACTGTGAGCATATTAAATCTTCCTCACCCTTCATCTTTTAAACTCAGCTAAAAACCACTCCCCACCAGACTAAATCAAGTGCCCCTTTTATAGGCTTCCATAGCACTTTACCTTTCCAAACACTCATCACATTTTTAATTACTTATTCAATATGAATCTCCAAGAAACACAGGTCAGAAACCCCAGGAGGACAGGAACTATACCCATTCTGCTAAACAATGAATCACCAAAGCCAAGCAAGGTTAACTGGTATTTTGGGGGCCATCTACAAACGTTTGTTGAATTCATAAATAAATAAATGAACTACACCATCGGACAATTGTTCTTCAGTCCTGATAAATCTAGTATGTGCTTAAAATACAGAAATTACGATGAGATAAATTTCTGTTGTCTTTTAACTACTCAAAGGCCTTAAATTTTACCATCAGCAACCAAAACTCTACATAGTAAATGTTTCTATTAGGTAGTGTTGGACTACTGATTAAAATGAGAGCTCTGGAAAAATAAGTGTGTGTCCAAAATCAGGAACAGCCCAGAGAGCATTAGCGATGCCAATGTATTCTTTTTTCAACTTCTAGCTATACACGTAAAATTAAAATAGTCGTTTTCTTAGTCTCCCAAATTTCTGCCCAAAATGTCAGGGTATGGTGATGGTAGTTCTGGCAACAGAACCAGCTTAATTCCAAGAAACAAATGGACAAGAGCCAAAAACATACTCCATTCCTACTGCAGTTGTTTGTTTTGCAGAATAAACCAACCAACCTGTAATGCTTTTCTTCTCAGAGGTATCATGTACCTGTGCCCTTGTTGCACTGTCCTTCCTATGCTGTTACTGTCATACAAATTGAATGTGGCTGTCTGAATAATGCTAACAGCATTTAGCAGTTTATATTGAAACGTTAGCCTCAGAAGAATTCAAATAAAAGACGAATCCTTTCCTTTTTATTTAATAGGTAAATTAATTCTAAAAGAAGTCAAAGGAATTATGCTTCTTTTAAAATCCTCACTGGATCCATCCTGAGGATCCAGTGTGGACTGAAGATAAAACACAATTCCAGTGCAGCACAGAAAAAAATTAAAGGCTAAATTACAGAGTTACAAATTTGTACTACTCTTGGAGCCATCCCAAAGGAAAAGGATTAAGAATAGAGCCATAGGCACACCTGTGAATGTATGCCAAAAATAAACCACAGAACCATAATAAAAACTGACTTCCTTGGGTCTAAGGATTTATCTCTTTCCCTGAAATGTAGAAAAATGAATTTAACAATTTAGCCCCTATGGCCTTTAAGAGGATTTTGTACCGTCTGTACTTGAAAATTGTGCTTGGCGTAACATGCTCTCTTATATAGGTAGCTTATGTATGCCAGGGTTAAGGTCTGCCGGAGGCTGTTTTGGTTTATGTTACTGCTTTAATTACATTCAAATGAATTTACTTTAAAAAGTGTATTCTCAGAGGACAATATATATGTTTTTTACACACATACACACACATTCTGGACTCAGAAGACTTTCTCAGCTTTCTGGTCCCTGTACATGATTCCCAAGTATACTAACTAGATAACAAAATCAGATTATCTCACACAGACTCCTCAATCTACCCATCAGGAAACTGAAGTACAAAGAGACAGGAGGCCTAATCCAAGGTTATGCAGCTGGTTAAGGGCACAGATAGAAGTGATTCACATTTCTGTGATTCTCAGCCAACTGTTCCCCAAAATTTTTAAATTCTTTTTTTTTTTCTGTTGCCCAGGCTGGAGTGCAGCTGCACAATCTCCGCTCACTGCAAGCTCCACCTCCCAAATTCAAGCAATTTTCCTGCCCTAGCCTCCCAAGTAGCTGGGATTACAGGCACGCCCCACCACACCTAGCTAATTTTTGAATTCTTGGAGTTTCACCATGTTGGCCAGGCTGGTCTCGGAACTCTTGACCTCATGATCCACCTGCCTTGGCATCCCAAAGTGATGGTATTACAGGCATGAGTGGCTGTACCCAGACCAAAATAAAATTCTCAAATAAGTAACTTCAAATTAAGATTTTTTTTTTAAAAAAATCCTTTCTTCATTGCGATATTTGCATTGGTTCTAATACCTAAATTTACCTCACAAATATCCATTTCACCTCCCAGCAGAGTTTAAAAACTATAAATAAGACATTTTAGGTGAAAGGAAAACACATATTTGTCAGTTTATCATCCAAGAATCTTCCAAGTTAGTACTCAAAGACTTTATCAATCCCATGACCAGAAAAGATGTTTCCTATGTAAGATCCTAAAATACCATGGAAATGTAAATAAAACTTATCCACAAGTTAAAACAGCTTAACAAATATAAACCAGCTATAGAATAACTGCAAAGGCTCTTCCCATTCAAAAGAGGGAGCAGTATTCATTCACTAAATTGTTTTAAATTAGACAACTTAAGGCTTATTTATCCTTTCACAATTTACTTAATATAATCTTTAATCAATCTTTCTGCTCTCAGTCTACCAACTGGTCACTCTGACCTTTTGCACTTATTTACTTCCAAAGCACCTTTAGCTTCCCTAGATATTCCTTCTTGATAACACAGGTATTCATCTCAGGCCAATTTAAATCCACAGCCTCATATTCAGTCCAAACTACATTGGAATGTGAAGAATACACACTTTAGGTTCGACGTAAAATTTCTTTCTTACTCTGGGTGAGCTGCCCTGACAGTGACAGGTGAAACGCAATTGACTAAGGGGTTGAAATGTCTGCCCATTTTGCAAATGTGACGGCCACTCTGAATCAAATCTGACCGGGATGGAAAACCCAAATGTGTAAAACAAAGGTCACAAAAGACAGAGCACAGTATTTCGGTGGGAAAATATTAAGCTAAATTTAGTCACATTAGCCCCAGCTGCTCTTGGGATATAGACATGATTAGGAGAACTAATCCTATCTGGAAACATTTCCTTCATCTTTCCCTTAGCCCTTTTCCTTCGGCCATTCAGTCTCTTACCCAGTAACTATCATATTAATATCATCCTCAGTTGAGATCCTTCCTGAGTTTATTCCTCATTCTCAGATGCTCTCGAAAGCAATGCTGGCTGGGCGTGGTGGCTCACGCTTGTAATCCAAGCACTTTGGAGGCCAAGGCGGGCGGATCACCTGAGGTCGAGAATTCAAGACCAGCCCGACCAACATGGTGAAACCCCGTATTTAAAAAAAAAAAAAAAGAAAGAAAGAAAGTAGCAATGCTAAACTGTCTCCAAAGCATAATGCTTTCCTAAATAGACACACAATCCATTTAAAAGTCTTTGGATGTGATTGCCTAAGCATTCAAAACACAAAGTCATTTCTCTAACAGTTCTAGGAAAAAAAATTTTAAATACAGGGGAAAAAAGCCCCCACAAAGTCAAGAGCTTTTGAGGAGCCCTGAAAAGTCATCAAATTGAACGCTCTCGTTTCATACTTGGAGAAACGGGCTCAGAGAATCTTATTCACTGAGCTAAAAAGGCCCTAACGGAGCCCCGAATTCAACCGTATCATCTGAAATAATCGTAAATTCAGCCTCGCTTAGAGCTTTCTGGAGTCGCCAGCGAGTCAGTGCTGGAGCCACGACTAGAACCCAGGCCTCCTGACTCCCAGCCACAGCTTTTCCACAGCACCGGCCGCCTCCCAAAAGTTGCAGGCAACTGTCCGCTCACAGAATGGGAGGGATAAGGGGCGCCTTAGTAAACACAGTCCAAGTCTCCTTGTTTTGCATGCGGAAAGGGACACAGCTCCCGAAATACTGGAGTCCAGGGCTGCAGCTGCTGCTTCTGACAGCAGAGGCGACAGGTGGCCCAGGACTAGTCGGTCCTCAAAGACTGGACTCCCTCTCGGCCCGCCGGGAGCTCCGCGCTTCACTGACTGGCCTCCCTACGACACAGGCCTTGCGGGGATGTAAAAAGGGCAGATACGCCACCCGAACCCAGGCCCTGGACGCCCAGCAGCTCCTGAACCACAGCCTTAGATCCTGGGGGGCCAGGGAGACGCGGACCCCCAGACCGGCAGCCCGGCCGCGTGGGTCGGCGCGCAGTTTAGGGGCCAAGAGTTGCGCCCCGCCACGAGTGAGGGGCGGACGGGAGACGCCGAGGCCGGCGAGGGGGCATGTACTAGTTCCACAGCCTGGCGGGCGAAATGGAGGGTAGGCAGGGGTCCCGGGCCGCGGGCGGCTCAGGGTCCGTCACTCACATACTCACTGCAGCGGCTGCAAACAGGAAGCACCAACCGGGAACCAAAACGCGTAAGAGAACGGGGAGGGGCGAAGACAAATGAGGTAAGGAGGCCGCGTCCGCGCAGACCCGGGAGGAGGGCAGGCACTTCCGGGGACAACACAGCACTGGACACCGCCTTTCCGTCCCCGCCTACCCGCCGCGTCTACTGTGCGCATGCGTACTGAGTGTGAACCCTTTCTCTGCCCTACCACAGTCTTTAGGTTTGCCTTCTTGGCTTTGCCTCTTCCCCGTCCCACCTTGTCTTGAACCTACGTAGACTGTGTCTATCATTTGAATGACTCGTATGAAAGAGATGCTATTTAGCGGGCAAAAGCCGGAGAGTTCGTGCCCTGTACGCCCGCGAGGAAAACTACAACTCCCATGACTACCCCTGCGGGATTGAGGCCGGGCTCCGCCTCTTTCTCCCTGGCGCTGGGAGGACGCCTTCCCAGCGCCACGTGGCGCCGGAGCCGAGCTGCTCGCTTGGGCGACGAGGGCCGGCGCGGCTCTTGGTCTGCGGACCTGGGCAGCGCTGGAGCGGGAAACCCCTACTTCGAGAGAGCCCATAGCTTCAAGCTTCTCCCTTGCGCTCCCGATTTTAGGCTGATCTCTTTTATCTTTTTATCTTTATTTGGCGCTTCCTCCGGTTTCTGGAATTCCAAGCAACAGATTTAATACTTTGTGAATCTTAAAGAGCTGCACTCTTTCTAAATATTGGAGTTAATGCTGATCCTTTGGAAGCCTCTGAAGGCTCCAACATTGTGCTGGGAGCCTCTGGCTTCATTTGCCCTTCTCACACCTTATTTTAATAAAAGCTAAACCCATTTGTACAACTTTAGAAATAACGGGCGACCTAAAGGAAAAATTCAGGCAAAGTTAACATAAGCAGAGAATTTATGTGGGCCAAGTTTGATGAACGCAACCTGGGAGCATCGATTCAAGTTGCCCTTAATATATGATATTAAGCAGCAGTTTCAAGTGAGTTCTTTGTCTTGTGGAGCCCGGGGCTTGGATTATAGGCGTGAGACACAACACTTACTTGCAGCGGTTACAAGTGAATTTGTTTTTGTTATTGTTGTTGTTTTGAGACGGAGCCTAGCTCTGTCGCCAGGCTGGAGTGCACTGGCACGATCTCGGCTCACTGCAACCTCCGCCTCCTGGGTTCAAGCAGTTCTCCTCCCTCAGCCTCCCCAGTAGCTGGGACTACAAGCACCTGCCACCACTCCCGGCTAATTTTTTTTGTACTTTTAGTACTTTTGTACAGCCGGGGCAATACAACAAGAGGCTGTCTCTACAAAAAATTTTAAAAATTAACAGGGTAGCTGGGTGCAGTAGTTCAGGCCTGTAATTCCAGGTAGGATACCCCCAGGCGGGCGTGATGGCACACACCTATAATCTCGGCTACTCCGAAGGCTGAGGCAGGAGAATCGCTTCAACACGGGAGTAGGAGGTTGCAGTGAGCTGTTACACTCCACCCTGGGCAAAAAGAGAGAAACTCCATCTTATTAAAAAAATAAAATAAAATAAAAGATTAACTGGGCATGATGGCCCACGCCTGGAGTCCCAGCTGTTCCTGGCTGAGGTGGGAAAATCGTTTGAACTGGGGAGGTCGAGGCTGCAGTGAGCCAAGATCGTACCAATGCAATCCAAAATGAGACCCTGTCTGAAAAAAAATGTTTAAATCCCAAATGCAGTGCCTCACAGCTGTAATCCCAACACTTTGAGAGGTTGAGGCAGGTGGATCAGGTTGAGCTTGAGCTCAGGAGTTGGAGACCAGCCTGGGCAACATAAGGAGATCCCATCTATATTTAAAATAAGATCTATTTTTTTAATTTAAAATTCAGTAAATAAAAATACATTTAAAAATAAATCTTTTTATAAAAACATAAATAAAAATGTTTCAATAGTAAAAATCAGCCAGGTGTGGTGGCACACAACTGTTTTTTTTGGGGGGGGGTGGTTTTATTTCGTTGTTTTTTTTTTTTTGAGGCGGAGTTTCGCTCTCGTTACCCAGGCTGGAGTGCAATGGCGCGATCTCGGCTCACCGCAACCTCCGCCTCCTGGGTTCAGGCAATTCTCCTGCCTCAGCCTCCTGAGTAGCTGGGATTACAGGCACACGCCACCATGCCCAGCTGATTTTTTGTATTTTTAGTAGAGACGGGGTTTCACCATGTCGACCAGGATGGTCTCGAACTCTCGACCTCGTGATCCACCCGCCTCGGCCTCCCAAAGTGCTGGGATTACAGGCTTGAGCCACCGCGCCCGGCGCGGTTGTTTTTTTTTGAGACGGAGTCTTGCTCTGTCACCAGGCTGGAGTGCAGTGGCCCAGTCTTGGCTCACTGCAACCTCCGCCTCCTGGGTTAAAGCGATTCTTCCACCTCAGCCTCCTGAGTAGCTGGAACCATAGGCGTGTGCCACCACGCCCGGCTAATTTTTTTGTATTTTTAGTAGAGACCAGGTTTCACCGTGTTGGCCAGGGTGACACGACTGTATTTCTAGCTACTAAGGAGGCCAAGGTGAGAAGAATTGCTTGAGCCTGGGATTTCAATGTCATAGTGAGCTGTGATCACACCACTGTACTCCAGCCTGGATGAGAGACCCCGTATCTTTAATTTTTTTTTTTAAAAATTGTTTTTGCATACCTTTAAAATAACTTAGACTCCTCTGAGCTATTTTTCTTCTCTCATAATGAAACAGGCCTTTTCAATTCTCCCCAAGGTAAGTGTGAGTTTGATCATTTTCACCGACGTTTATTGAACATGCATCTGTTAAGAGACATGGTGTTAGAAAGTGCAGATAGGTTGGGTGCGATGGCTCTTACCTGTAATCCCAGCACTTCGGGAGGCCGAGGTGGGTGGATCACCTGAGGTCAGGAGTTCGAGATCAGTCTGGCCAACATGGAGAAACCCCATCTCTTTTTTATTTTGAGACGAAGTGTTACCCAGGCTGGAGTGCAATGGCACGATCTCGGCTCACTGCAACCTCCGCCTCCTGGGTTCAGGCAATTCTCCTGCCTCAGCCTCCTGAGTAGCTGGGATTACAGGCACGCGCCACCATGCCCAGCTAATTTTTCGTATTTTTAGTAGAGACGGGGTTTCACCATGTTGACCAGGATGGTCTCGATCTCTTGACCTTGTGATCCACCCGCCTTAGCCTCCCGAAGTGCTGAGATTACAGGCTTCAGCCACCGCACCCAGCCTCACTTCTTTTTTTTAATCCTTTTTTTTTTTTTTTTTTGACACAAGGTCTCGCTTACTGCAGTCACAACCTTGTGGGCTCAAGAGATCTTCCCACCTTAGCCTTGCAAGAAGCTGGGACGACAGGCATGCATCACCACACTGCACTTAGCTAATTTAAAGATATATATATTTTGTAGAGAGGGGATCTTGCCATGTTGACCAGGCTGGTCTTGAACTCCTGGTTCAAGCAATCCTCCCGCCTCAGTGTGAACCACTATGCCCAGCCCCTACTTCTTGAAATCATGCGTGGCAGCATGCACAAGTATCCTGAAGTCTTTCTTACAGAGCATCTTCTAAAGAGACCAAAATTTATTTGAGAAAGGAAGCACCTGTTCTCCCCAGGGCAATGGCAGTAGTACATCAACAGTGAATAGCAGAATTGGGATGAGGGGCCAGGACAAAGCAGAAATCTGCTGCAGAGAGCAGAAAAGATAGGATATTCTGTAGCAGGATCTGGGCAAGCAGCACTCATCCATATCCTTCATATTGCAAAGAGAGGAGCTACCTCTTCCTTTTTATTTTCCAGTTTATTAGTGGCTCCTAGAACCTCTGAGAACCAACTTATTTTGACCTCTTAACAATGCCTTTTTAGCCACTTCAGATATATATCTCTTACCCAGCTGTGAGTGACTCTCTAAGGGAGGGATTAGCCCCACCTCACTACTATGGAAATGGAGACTTGGAGTGATCAAGTGACTTGCTCTGAATTACATACAGCTGGGAAGTGGTGAAGCTGGACTTCAACTCAAGTTATGCCTAGATCTAAAACTCATGCTCTTTTCTATGCTCAAAGCCACATTTAAAAACTGAACTTTAGCATGGAGTCTATGATGACCAGCTCATGCCTCTCCACCCAAGGCTAAGCATAGAGAGGCTCACAGTGGACACTTTTGGAATGAGTACATTCTGTATGGAATGGTTGGTAAATGAAGGCCTGGGCACAGTGTGAACAGTGTTATGGGACAGCAGAGCAGGGGATGGTGGCTGATTAGGGGAAATGGAGAAGCCTCTGCAGAGGAACAGAACTGAGTGAGACCTGGAGAAATAAGTAGTCAGACAAAGACTGACAATTCAGCATTCTCACAGCAAAGAACATGAACAGGCAATTCACAGAGCAGGAAACCCAAAGGCCATGAATAGATGCTCCACATAACTAAGTCAGAAAAATGCAATTATGTCATGCACAGTAGATGAGAACACAAACTGGAAAATTGTATTAGGAGAGCTATTTGTTAGCATCTATCACAATTATAAATGAGGTATGTTCTTAAATGTATGTACAGAAATTGAGATAGAAAAAATGGAAACAAATATTCATTAGTAGGGAACAACATAAACAAGGACATACTTACACTATATTTTTTTAAATGCCACTTTTGGCCTAGCATAGTGGCTCACACCTATAGTCCTAGCACTTTGGTAGGCCAAGGAAAGAAGACTGCTTGAGCCCAGAAGCTCCAGACTAGCCTGGGTAACATGATAAAACCTCATCTCAACAAAAAATACAAAAATTAGCCAGGAATGGTGACACACATTTAGTAGTCCCAGCTACCTGGGAGGATGAGGTAGGAGGATCACCTGAGCCCAGTAGGTGGAGACCAGCCTAGCCAACATGTCAAAACCCTGTCTCTACTAAAAATACAAAAATTAGCAGGGCATAGTGGCACACACCTGTAGACTCAGCTTAAAAAAAAAAAAGATTCACAAAGACATACAGTTAAATGAAAAACGGTAAATTGCAGAGCAGTAGGTGTACTATGAATTTTTTTTTTTTTTTTTTTTTTTTAAAGAGTCTACTAGGCTGGGCGTGGTGGCTCAAGCCTGTAATCCCAGCACTTTGGGAGGCCGAAGCAGGTGGATCACGAGGTCAAGAGATCGAGACCATCCTGGTCAACATGGTG